GTTTTTTAGTTATTCATTATTAGGATTTATGCCACAATTCTGCGGCTCTAATACTGTAAGAGATGGTCTAAAACCAATAAATGTGAGATATATGCCGTGGATAATTATATATTTATCTTCATTTCAAAGTTATTGTATTACATCTCAAAATTATCCAGGTCAGTGTGTTTTCTATAGAGCACGTGGTAATTACGTGTAAGCTACTGGAATGTTTTTTCTATGGCCAATTCAGCTATTTCGATTATTCAAGTAGCCAAAAGGGACTATTTAATTAATAAATAATTATCATAAGTCTTTCTAATATTTCATTTTTTACGTCAAACAAAGTGATATAGACATGTGAATCACAATACCCTATCATGAATAAAAAAAACATGAACTATGAATTTACTTTGAAAAGTTTTTGTGCGTTATCAAAAATGACCGGTAGTGAAAATGTTGAAGTGGAAGCCCTGTTGTGGACCCCTCTAGATGTCACAATTTTTATCCGATTTTGATCAAACTTAAAATATATTTTTATATCCCAAAGATCTCAGTCCCTTTCGATATTTGCACATTTCGGACCATAACTTTCTAGATTATGCCCGAAAAAATTGCTTTTGTTTTTAGCTGGTTTTCTATCCATCTCTTGCAAAATGTGGGCTTACCTTGCCTGGCAACCGCTGATTACTAATAATATGGTTATTTTAAAAAATTCAATATAAATTACAGATTCTTTTTGAGCTTAATGATGCTTCTTTAAATTTTGAAAATGTTAAGATTATATTGAAATGGTGTGGAGAAAGTTCATTTAAACTAAAATATTCTTTAGATTCAAGTTGTATTATTGTTCATGCAAATTAAAATTGATTTGTATGTAAAATGCTGGTCAGCGGATATCTATAAATATACACTATTTATAAGATGGTAAGATTAGCAGATATTATAAACTAGGATTGATATCACACTGATTTAACTTCTATAGTTAAACTGGATTTCATTAAAACCACAACAAAATTATTGATTCTTCATAATTTTCTGGGTACAAGTAAGAGATGTTTATCGGTGGTGACAAGCTGTAACCATGTGTTTTTTCTCTTGTTTGCTGACACTGCTGAAGATGATAGGAGATATACCAGTTGATCTGATTTGTGTTATATGGATATTAAACCTTATTTCTCTTAAAAATGTAAATTATGTTTATCTTTGTATTACAGGTGATGAGAGTGTCGGAAGGAAAGAGGAGGATGGTTGGACAGTTGTAACTAAATAAATATATTAAATACAGCTACCTTTTTACATAGTGCTTGACTTATAATATACAGTTATTATGTACACCACTAGATCAGATTTTATTCATAAACCTGAAATCCCTTAAACTGGCAGTCTGTATAGAAAAGAACACCACAGATATAAGATGTGATCAGATAATAGTTTATCCAGTTGACATTTATACAACTATGTTTAATGGTCAGAAACCCTGGGGAGAAAAATTGAAAATTAATTGTGATTACTACCATAATTTCTGTTCTAGTCTGTGAGTCAAGGCAAAGATGTCTGCTGAATAATAGCATTATTAAGAAAATAAAGGCTTTTGAATTGAAATAATTTATATTTCCTCAAAGGAGCTAAATCGCTATTTCTAAAGAGTTATGTTTGACGAAATACGTGAGAGTCTGAAATGTATGGCAGTCTTTGGCGTCTGGTTATATACATGGGATATGTTTAGCCTTGCTCATCAAGTTGCTTCATACAACTGGCACTCAAATGCATTCTGGCACACAATTCGTGTTCCAATTTTAAAATTTTCATTTTGTCTTAAATATTGGATATCAGAATCACAACTTTTCATGGTAAGATAACTTCAGTGTTGATTTAAATTGACCAATAATGTCAAAAACTACGGATGATATTGAGTTTAAGACTTAGCTCCTTTAACTATTGCTTAATGACATTAGTGACCAGACTATTAATTAGTTCATCAAACTGTATCACTTCTGCTGCACAGTGTTCAGACTTTATTCCAGTGTCCATTAAACATGATCATTGCCCACAGATAAATATAAAAGCATTTTAAATTATCGGTACTTGTCAAGAGAAGTGAAATGTAACATTAGTCTCCAAGAGAATCACCAATTTGAACAAGCAGGTGAAAGCGTATAGAGCATTGTATAAAAACGGGCAATATTTGTTGAATATAATTCTACGGTCAAGAATATGTGGTAATGTAATTTGTAAATATTAATGAATATTGTTTCATGTCTAAAATTAGGAATGGTATTGTTTATGAAGTTTTACTTCTTTGGAACCTGTCAATTGCAAATCAAAAAATTATTATTCCACTTATAGTAATAGTGAAATTGCAACTTATTTATTTTAAACAGTTGAGCCTGTTATTTAAATTATTGGCTGTTTTGGCAGCCTTTCGATAAATTTGATTGGTGGATGAAAGACGTTGCCGGACATTGTAAATTTCAACGGCAAATCCCATAGCATAGGTTATGGCATTTCTTTATGATAATCAACCAAATAATTGTGAATTGATAAGAAAATTCAGTGCACAAAAACATAAGAAAATATGTATTTTGAAGAGTTTAGGGTGTGCAATTGTAACCTATTGAAATTGACATTATGGTTAATAAATTATTTCTAATTCTGAATCTTGATTTGTTATGTATTAAATTTACAGGAGCAATTTGGGTCAAGAATTTACCAAGGATTGAATCCTGGGGAGGGTCTCGGAGGCTTGTTTTTCAAGCTAAAATTTGGAGGATTGCCTCCATCTTTGGCTCAAACCACTCCCCTCTCAACTAGTTTAAAGTTGGATTTTATTGGCAAATCTCCTGAAGAATAGTTCCTACATATGGCCGTTGTTAGGGGTGCATTTCTTAACAGATTGTCTTGAAACTTTGTACACTTATTCCTTATACCGTAAGGATGATCCCTATTGTTCTTTATGCATTCTGGGGATCACTTGGCTAGGTGGATAAGACGCTGGCTCGCTAGCCTGTAGGTCGGGTTTTCGATCCCTGCATTGGCCGAGAAAGTTTATCCAGATTTTCCGGCGTGGTTTCCCCTTGTCAGTGATGCAGGATGGAGGGCCTGACAAGGACAGCTGTCTAGTCGTTCGGATGGTGCAAAAAAACGAGGTCCTGTGTACATATTGGCGTGCACGTAAAAGATCCCTTGGCAGTTGGAATTCGATATGAGTAGGCCGTAGTGTCGCTGCTTAGGATCAGAACAGTAGGACGTTAAACCCCATTTCATTTCATTTCTTTATGCATGCCCGACCCCTGGGGACAACCAGTTCTTAACATTTCACCTTGAAACTTTGCATACCTATTCCTTATACCCTGAAGATGATCACTTTTGTTTTTGTTGAATGCCTTACCCTTAGGGCCAGAGCTACAGCCATCTTTTCTGTGTGTAGCCTACAGGTTACAATTCTTAATAGATGCTCTTGGGACCTGGCATATGTATTCCTTATAGCCTAAGGACAACAACAATTGCCCCTCCCCTTTACTCAAATAGTAGCAAAAGATGTAATACATATATCAAGGTGTTTAGGATAGCAAGATGTGGGATAAATTTGATTTTAGTGTGCAACTAAACACTGGGTTTTTTTATGACCCATGCAAAATAAGTTTATGATGATGATGAAACCTATCAAACGGGATAGGATGAGCCCTATTGATTTTCTCTTTTTTTCAATCTATCTCTTGTAAAATATAGGCATATCCTTTTAGGATTAGAAATTCATTGTACTACATTACATAATACTATACTGAGCGCCATCGAAAACCATCACTTTTTTTTCCCTAGGTAATTTTGTATGTATAATATGCAATACTATGAACTATTGTTTCACACAATGCTCCCAAACACAAAAAATATTGGCCCATGTGCACCACAAAAAATTGCACAAGATGCACATGAAAAACCCAATATTCACGTGCAGCATTGTGTGTGAGCCCTTTAAAAGCATGTTTTCAACTTAATGTGCAGTACATGAACTGTGAAACGTCAATCTGTCGTAATTTGTTGTTAGACGTGTGAAGGAATCAAGCTAGAGATGCCAAGACTTACTGAAAATCAACGGAATGAAGCAATGGGAATGTCCCGGGCTGGCATGTCTACACGTGCTATTGCCAGACACTTTAATTGTCATCAGTCCACTATTTTAAGGTTGGTGGAACGTGTTCGAGTTACTGGATCAACACGTGAGCGTCAACGTCCTGGTCCACAACGTGTTACAACCCAGGCTCAAGACCGCTACATCCGGGTCACCCAGCGACTGGAACAGGTGCAGCAGTCGTCGAAAGACAAGGACCAGTAAGTGCCAACACCGTAAGACGTCGACTAAGAGAAGTAGGACTCCGTGCACAACGACCTTATGTTGGAGCTATCCTCGGGGATCATCACCGTCAGCGGCGTTTGATATGTGCTCAAGGACACCAGACATGGAGAAGAGTAGACTGGCAAAGTGTGCTCTTCAGGGATGAGAGTCGTTTTCATCTTTATCACGCTGATGACCGTCAACGTGTGTGGAGACGTCTTGGGGAACGTCTTCAAAACGAATCGATGGGGTGGGGGAAGTGTAATGGTGTGGGGAGGCTTCACATTTCATCACCGGACCGCCCTACACATTTGCAGGGGTCGCGTTAATGCTGTAGCCTACCGTGATGATGGCCCGTGGAGGACAATTGCGCTACTGACATCTGTGTCGTACTTTTGGTTTTGACCCCTCTGACTGTACCCTTGATTACAGATTAAACATCCATAAGTGTACAAATGTGTTGTTATTGATGTGTTCCCATTTGAATATTGTTCACAATAAGAAGCAAAATATATAAGATATGTCTACAGGATCATTTTGTTATACGTAAAACTAAGTGATGTGTTTTCCATGGCGCTCAGTATTTATTGGACTTGGTATCTCAATGGTTAACTTTTATTTCAAGGAGACATGGGTAATATATTCCCAGCCTCCATTATTGACAGATTATAATTAACATAAAGTCTTTTGTAAAAGTATAAATTGTAAAGTTTTATTACAAGGAATTTCAAATACACAAAACCAAAAAAAAATATAGATAGCACTTTTAGGATGGTAAGGTGACAAAAAAACATGACTCAACAATTAATATCCAACTGGTTCGCTAATAAATCTTACTTTATTGCTAAGACCACTCATCAGAACATGACAATAGTCTCAATCATATTTGAACATCACAAAGATGTAAACTAAAGGAGTCAATCTTAATGAAACCGAAGAGGCAGTTATATTCTTACATATTTGGGTTTTAAAATTAATGTGATCTGAGCACAAGTGTCAAAGAGAATCTCAGTCCAGTAAAACATCAAAAATATAAATAAACATACTGAACACTTAAATTTCAATCAGCCAGAAGTTACCTATAGCAATGCAATGGAGTTTGAACAAGTACCAATTTCAATGATTAGCTCTATACAGGAATTACATAATATAAAGACGACTGTGATAATAGTATAATAATTATTACAATGAATATAACAGAAAATATTATAGATGTGCTGTCAGTTGCCCTAATATTTTATTATATTATAAGCCAACCAAGGTAAATAATCATTGAATTTTTCTCATTTTTTTTTTTTTAAATATTCGTATATCTCAGAACAACTCTTTTATAACCATTTCAAAGTCTTTCATTAATATATCAAGTCCTCTTTTCCAAATTGTCATCCAAACTTTACTTATTATAAATTCTGTTTCAAAATACTATCACCATGTATTATTATGTAAAAGAACAAATGGAATATCATTTTAAAATTATTGATATATGTTTCATTATTTTGTCTTTGGTATTTGTAAACACTGGCATAGTGTTTATTCATGTCAAGTAACAGCACTTCAAAACATTGAAACAACATACAACATATGAAAATTGTAATCTATGTTAGTCATCAAGATATTCACTTGATATCAAGAAGACAGTAAAATGATCAAAACTAATCTAAAAACAAAGAACACCTCTCTTTATTTCTTGAATTTTAATATTCTCATGAACACTTACTTTAAACTGGTTGATGTAAAATACACTCTTATATCCACTACCCTCAAAGTCATCCATGATTTTATTGACCAGTATATGATAAAGAGCACCAGTCAATTCTGATCTAATTTTATTTCAAATTTGTACATATTGTGGCAGATATGGTAATCTGTACAAATTAATGTAAAACTATTTAATGTTTCACAAAATGTCTAAATGTAGGATCATCAAGTCTGACCATGAGGTTAGAGTACATTTTACACCAATCAAATTTACACAGACTTTGTTCTTTTCTGGCAGTTAAATCACATGACTGTCACATGATATTCTACTATTACTCAACTATAATCATCAAGTACACTATGATCTGTCGGATGTAGGCCACGTTCTTTCAAAGCCTTTTTCTTCAGGTCCTCTTCTTGTTGTTTTTGAAGTTGTTCTGCACGCTGCATCTCTAGAATGTCATCGATAGGAACTTTTTCTAAAGATGGATTATTTTCGTTTTGTAAATCCTAGAAAAGAATATAAAGTAAATGTATAATTTTTCTAAATACTCTCCATATTTCATAAATGAAATGAGGATTAACGTCCTACTTTTCTGCACTGATTGGATTAATGAAGACGAGCATACACCATGCAGTGGGCTTACTTTTATATTGAATTACAACTGTCAAGGTGTACTCAGGATCTTGGTTTTTCATAACATCCAAATGATTAGACAGCTTTCCTTGTCAGGACCTCCGTCCAGCATATTAACAAGGGGAAATCTTGCGAAAACTCCTGAGGAAATTTCTTGGCCAACACAAGGTACGAACCCACGATCTCTAGGCTAGCAACCCAGCATCTTACTGAGCTATCGTACCTCCCCAATATTTCATTAAGTATGTAGATCTTGTTATGAAAGATAATACTGCCAAGTGTAGTGCAACCTAAATTAAAGGTTGCTGTAACCCTGTCAATGAGTTTTAATGGAATATTCACTTAAGAGCACAGAAAATACACCTTTCATCCTTAAAGACACAGAATTTCAGACTAAAAGGCAAATATAGTCCATATCATTCAAAAAATCATATTTGTCAAAAACAATTTAATATCAATAAATCCTATTGTAAATGGAAATATATATAAAAAAAATATTTACTAAAATGAAGTCCCAAAGCTCTTCCTCACCCTACAGCACTGATAGTATAGATGATAGTGTAATATTAGTACGAGTGTCATTATATTTAAAAGAATATTCCAGATGACCAGATTCTGTCAATAGGTTTGAAAGAATAATAAATCTCTTACTTACAACTTCACCAAGAAGAACAACATTTTCTCCTCTAACAATAAAAATTCCTCTATCTATGTCACCATATTTCTTTCCTACATGTATTCTCTCGATAGTTCTATGTAACACAAGATTAGCTGAAATACATAGTTATAAGCTGTTATGGTAGAAATAAAATTCTAATAATATGGGGTCATAATCTTTAACTGTGGGTGTGTGTGTATTAGTCCAGCAGACTAATACTATAATATTTTTCTGTATCTGCAACAGAAATCATTAGTCTGAAATTCAACATTATGTGAAAATGAATCAAAAATATAATCAGTTTAAAGTATGGCTGTGTATAATATAGCTAGCATAAGCTTATTATTTCCTTAATTAACATGTGTACTGGGTACTTTAGCAGTGAAAGGTCCCAGAAGAAAACACATAAGGTTAAAGGAGGCAAGTCGCCAACTCAATATCATCCACAGACTTTGACATTCTAAATACGGTTTTCGTTTATGTTTGTTTTCAAAAAGTATATTGTATTCAAGATGTTCTTTAAAGTACATGTAGCTAAGTCTTTATCTCAGTATCATCCACAGCCTTCGACATTGCAAACACTACTTATTGGTCAATTTAAATCAACATTGATGTTGTTATCTTACCGTCAAAAGATGGGCTTCTGGTATCCAATATTTAAGACAAAACGAAAATTTTAAACCTGGCGCATGAATCGCGTGCCAGAATACTTTTGAGCACAATTTGTAATCAAGTGACTCAATGAACAAGGCTAACTAAAGATATACCAAAAGAAAATACTACCGATGTAGACTGGAATAACCGGATGCCAAAGACTGGCACTGAAATTTTACTCATACTCATCGCGTTTTTTGCCTAACATAACCAATTAGAAATTACAGTAAAAACAGAAATGATTGAACATAAATCAGATTATACACATTCATATTACATTATCATATGCGTTGCGACCCATTTGTCCATTTCTAGTTGCCAAAGAATAGCGATTCAGCTCCTTTCATCAGGCGTCCCAACTTTTTTTTTATGTAAAACACATGACTGACGTCCCTATTCAACACCTTTATTTGGAAGTTTTACAAATGTCTGTGTGTAGGTTATTGGTTTGAATTCAGTTTATTTTGTAATCATTTACAGTTATAAATTATTGATTTATATCAATAAATCAACGATTGCTCCTATTGATTTAGCTAATAAAAATTAGGTGCCAAGGTGGTCTCTGTGTATAGATCACACTGGTATTTATAATCTACAGTGCACTGCTCCAGATGAGTCAATCAACTGTACCTACCAAACTGATCAATACTGCGAAGAAATCCAATCAAAGTTCTTCCATCTCTTAATACAACTAATAATTTCTCTACAAAATAACAACACAGATCAATAATCATATCTCATTATAAATATGTGTACAAAAGTACTATGATCATAAATAGAAATGGGTATCAGAACTTTTGTTACTCAGTATCATTGGGGTTAAAAACATGCATCTTCATAATCTGCTCAATCTAAAAAAATCACAGACTGGGCAGATATATTATAAAACAAAATATCAGAATGAATTGATCTATTCCTGGCTTATAAAACTAAACAATGATTCTTTAACTGCAAATCAAAAAAGTATATGGTACACTCTTTTCATTCAACACGACATAAATTCTTAATTGACATAATTATTTCTATTCATCAATAATAACTCAGGAAGTCAAAAACTATTCTAATAATTTTAATGAAAACTCACTGTCTATTTCTTCAACCAGACTAGCTGTTCCTGGTAAATAACTACTCATTTCTACTGATGATTAGCTACAGGTACTGCTAGAATAACAAATTTAAAATCATTAATTAACCGAACATTTAGGTTTTAACATCAATCATCAGGTCCCATTACAACAATAAATAGTTGACACATACATATATTTAGTAGTTTCAAAAATGCTCAAAATCCATAGGAATGAATGAATGAATGAATAAAATGGGGTTTCATGTTCTACCTTTCTCCTCCAACTGGGCTAATGAAGACAGGGGAAATTCATTGGAAACATCTTTATTTAAGAAGTTTTGATGAAATCTGTCAAGAATTAGTACAAGTACCACAATGTACATTTAACCTCAATCTTAATCTTATCAGACAGCAGCCAGAACTCTGGGTTTACTGTGAAAAGACTCAAAATTGCTAGGAAACATCTTTACTCCCAATAATAGCAAATCATGAAAAGCAGTGACAAATTATACTCTGCAGAGTGAGTACATGTATGTGTCCTGTACAAATGCTGTCAGGGGCCATAACTCTGGAAATACCTTTAGAAAAATGCTCGAAATCAATAAGAACTATCAACCCTAATGCCAACTACTCTGTAAATATGAATGAATCAACAGAAAAGAACATAGAGTGAATACAAAGTAAGTGTGGACGAAATGATGAATAAGCTCAAAGACAATACAACCATATTAACATGACAATAATTTGATTCTGATTCAACCAGTACCAGTGTGTCAATTTGGCTTCTTACCAGTTTGGCTCATTTCAACACAACTGCACAGAACCAGGGAGTCAAGTATCTATTTGAAGAGTACCGGGGAAGAACGATCTAAGTCACTTTTTCAATGAACCCCAGTTAATAGCGCCATCTGGTAGAAAATTGTATAAGCTTTCTGTGGAACAGGTAAAAACGAACACTCACATCGAACCAAGGCCCTTCTGAAATGGCCTCCCGGACAAATACGTCCATCGTACCCTTTATTTGACCTTAATTTGGCTGAAAAGTGGAAGTTAGTTGTTGTGCTGGTAATTATGATTCATATTAAACATCATTTTGAAGCTGTAATTAAACCCACTCGTTGTTCTGTTCCGTCAAGCATTCTCATCCAAAAGTCTGTTTTGCCTTATATGCAAAAAGACTCTTCATTTATTTCCCAGGGTTCATACAGTATAAATTTTGCAAATCAAGTGGTACGGTAGGCATAGGCGTACGGGGAAATTTTTGACTGGGGGGGTGGTGGTGGTTGGTGCCCCAAAAATGTAGTTAGGTTCTTAGTATGTTACATAATAATAATAATATCTCTTTTGCGATGAATAAGTTCTTAATTTCTAAATCATCAATAAAAGAGAACTAAATTTTATTTACTTGTAATATACACAACTAAAAACAGTTGTTTATGTAACTGTAACTCGTGGCTTACTGTACTCCAAACAATAGAGGGTTCGAGTTTAAGATTTCTTTTTAATTGCCTAACTATAGACACTCTGAATTTAAATTTGCTGTTAAATTGGACACATTCAAGAACACAATATTTTTTTATACAACTTTTACAAAGTACAATTGTGTGCCCAAATTTTCCCAGCATTTGGTGCCCAGCTCGTACGCCTATGATGGTAGGCCATACATTTTGTGAGTCACATGTGTAAGCTTACAACTAAAATCGTTATTTCCCAAGTCCTAGCTCCCGACTGTTATAAAATATGCTCCACGAAAACAAAAGATCCAAGCTGAATGAATATGTGATTTACACTATTTCAATAAAATACAGAGATCTTTATTTAAGGGGGTATTATTGGAGAAATGGCAACAATCCAGGATTCGATGACAAATTAGATTATTGAAGTATTTTTAATTATCAAAACCATATTGTCAATGTGGTGCTGGTACAGTCAACAGTGGACAAGTATGATGAGATTAAAAGAAAATGGGGTTTAACATCCACTAAACACAGATATACTGCAGACTGACCCTTACCGTTACAGTTTAGTTCTTCTATGACACAAACTATGTCATTTTGGGACTAACACACCATCATGGTGCAATTTTATTGCAGTAATTCTCTTGTAATTACACAATTTGATTAAATCACAGATCCTATTTCCTATTACTTGTCTTTACTACACTGGGATCTGGAAGAGTTGTTATCATTGACATGTTCTGGATGATGTGAGGAATTAGCCAATGAAACAGTTTGTTATGGCAAGTTCTTGGCCTTTTGATGCACGGAACTGTGGGTAAACCACTAGAAACATCAAGGCTGATTGATTAATCAATGTCTGACATCATAGGGTCAAAAGCCGCTTGTTTGACCCCTAATGTGAACTCCCACTATAACTTGTCAGATCTTCATGTAGTGTAGGCCATCGAAAAACCAAACAAAATATAGATCTGTATTTTAATCAGATTGGTAATTACAAGTAGCGTAGGGGACTTTTGTGGAGGAATTCGGAGTATCCAGGGATGGCGTTACTATACTATTCAAAAAAAGTAGGGGATATTTGATTTTGGGGGCATAATACTAAAATATGCAAATGACTACGAAAAAAGTCACTATAGAACCTAACAGAAGAAACATTTCCAGTTACATGTGACGCCCAAACGCACCAATAGCTACCGCATGGAATGCAGGTGATGCTTGGGATCATCATGGGGGTCCAACCCAAGATTTGCACGACTCTGACTTTGAATGTTACAGTCATTGTGGCATTGAATTCCAGGGTGGAAACATCAGTTTAATTGTTTTAGTGACCAGAAAACAAATTTTGATATGCGTCGGCTTACCCAAAATGAAAGGTTACGTGCCCTTGGCATGCTACAGATCGGCACAACACAGGCGGTTGTGGCGCGGACGATGAATGTTTCTCAGTCTGTCATAAGCAGGCTATGGTCCAGATACCGTGATACACAATCTGTACAGGACAGACCACGCTCAGGTCGACCAAGGGCGACAACTCAAGCCCAGGATCGATTTATCCGTACCTTGGCCTTGAGAAATCGTGTCATCACAGCAAATCAGATCAGCGCTCGTCTTCAAACAGACACTGGTGTGAGAGTGAGTGGCCAGACGATTCGGAATCGACTGCATAGGGGTCACCTTCGCGCCCGACGTCCTCGCGTGATCCCTTGTTTGAGAGATCATCACATTCAGGCAAGACGTCGTTGGTGTAGGGAGCGTCAACACTGGGATAATCGACGCTGGAGCAATGTGATGTTTTCAGATGAGTCAAGGTTCACTGTTGATTTTTTGGACAGACGTAGGAGGGTGTGGCGTCGTCGAAACGAGCGCTTCCAAGACGTTAACGTCATCAGACATGATCGATTTGGGGGTGGTTCTGTTATGGTGTGGGGAGGCATCACTGTTGCTGGAAGAACGGCTTTACATGTTGTTGCAGGGCGTGTTACAGGCCAGTACTACCGGGACAACATCTTGGCAGTCCATGTTGGGCCGTTCGCACGACGTCATGGCCGCCGTTTCATCTTCCAGGATGACAACGCAAGATGTCACAGGGCCAGGATCGTTACAGGTTACCTCCAACAACAGAACATCACCACATTACCTTGGCCAGAACTGAGTCCCGACCTCTCCCCCATCGAGCATGTCTGGGACATGCTTGGACAGAGGTTACGTCAACGTCAACAACGTCCTGCCAATGTCCAAGAACTTGCTGCTGCGTTGCAACAGGAATGGGACAATCTGGACCAAATTGACCTTAGACGTCTCATTAAGAGTATGCCACGTCGGATCAATGCTTGTTTGGCAAACAGAGGAGGATTTACCCGTTACTGACTTGGTTGTGATGCTGTGGTAACTTTCCTGTTTGACCCCGGGTATCATTTTACCCTTATAATGGTCAGTCTGTGCCTTACTTAGTCTAACGATCATTTGGAATAAATCGATGTATGTGAACTTCATTTCATTTTGTCATTTGTTTCTTCGTCAGTTTCATTAGGTGACTTTAATAACACTTAAAAATCAAATATCCCCTACTTTTTTTGAATAGTATATATGTCCTGGTTTGGGGGGCTGTTTTTGGCTCTGAAGTGCCCAAAGAACAGTGTGATTGATTCTTTGCTTGTCAATTAATTTGGACCTTTCTATTAAATATAAACATACCATTGTATTTGTATCATTTTCAAAGAGATCATAAAAACATGTATACATTGCATTTGTTGCTAAAAAGAATCAACAAAAATATAAACATGTGGCAAACAGATATAATTTCTGTCAAGGGACTATTCACAGGAATCTGACCTTCTATGATTAGTTTTGTGGGGAGTATTTATGCAAATCAAAATGGTTAGATTGAAGAAAAAACATATCTGAGTGAATCGACAGAGGTTTGATTGCCTGACATTATGAATTGTTGAAAAAAAACAAAAAACGAGCCGAAGCGAAACAAGGTAAAATCGAGGCTTCAACAGGCATTTCATTCCTGTTCTTTTTTATTATATTATTGTCTAGTTTGGTATGGTGTATGCATATGATTATGATATATATACCGATAGAAGGTCAGATTCCTGTGGTGTATGTTGGATCAAATCCACCTTCGCCCTTAACGTGCGGTGTGGCAAGGTACATTAAAAATCGAGATCTAGTTACTTAGACTTCTATTATAGCATTTTTATTAAGCTAAACTAAAAGATTTTATTATTTTATTTTTTTAGCTTTCTTCAGCTTAGCTAAATTTCCATTTTAATTTTCTAGCGAAAGTAAAAACCAACGCAAGAATTAAGTTTTCTGCATTTACTTATTATAGAGTTCATTGATAAATAGGCACAGTTTTAGTTCAGCTTACGTAATAATGAAATGAATAACAAAAGGAATCTTCAATGTTGTCAATCCATCTATTTCATTCACTAACTCGGCACATTTTATAAATCGACCTTCACCTTTAGCACCCGGAAGTTAAAGTTCAAGAACACACAGTGGAGTACACGTGAAAATGGCATCAGTTAGCAGGTTACTGTTATCTTCGGTAAGCGGACCGTGTTTAAAATTAAAACTGATCTAAATAATAATTTAGGCAAAATAATGTAGTAATTGTTGAATAGTCTACATCATAAATCTACAATATAGTCATAGATTATATAACATTCATTGCATAACAACACAGAATGAGAATTGCCTACACAAGGCGGCTTTTCTAGTTCTACGCTAAAGTGAGGAATTCGCTTTTAACGTGAAGACATAGCTGGATAGCTTACTATGGACATCTCTGTTTCGATCCCTGTGTTGGCCGCTACAGTTCCTTTGCCTTGGGATTTTCTGGCGTGGTTCCCCCATGTCAGTGTTGCATGACACCGCCTAGCCCTTCGGATAAATACGGGTGCCTTTGACAGGTGGAATTCAATTTATCTTGCCAAAATTCCCTTAGAGGATTATAGTTATAGCAATAGCATACAGTGTGACATACGGTCTTCAGCTGCAGAAAATGAGGTTATTAAACCACAATTCATATGACATATTGGACAGTGGGATAATTTGTACACTTTTTTTTCTGGTTTGTTGTAAATCAAAAACATTTTGATTTTTCCCAGGTTTGCAATACAACTTAATATCTTAGTTATAATTTTATTAATTAAGATACTGTACGTACAAATATATTTTGGAAGGGATCACTGTTAGATTTATTTTACTGAACCTTATACTGTCCAGGTTTACCCTATCATGTGGGATACCAGTAGGCCTACATTTATCCCATTTGGAATTTTGTTTTGTCCTACTACACAAAATCTCATGGCAACCCTTCATAAGAGCATTCGGGATAGACTACTTTCTGGTAGTACCCACACGTTCCGAATCCATATTTCTCTTTGCATTATACCTATAACACAATTACCAACTGACATCAATTCAATAGCCAATACCTTGTGTTCATGAATATGCCAAACTAATGTAATGTCTGACCTGTTTTCAAAAATGTATTGACTATATTGATGTACCGTATGTCATACCATACATGTAGGTACATTTAGAAAATTATACTGGTATGCAAAACACTATTTTAGAAATGGCTGATTTTCTCTCCTAAACAATTGGTTAGTTAAGCAAGCCATGAGTATGAGGACAATTTTGCCCAGATTGCGAGGTTTCAAATTCCAGTTGCAAAGGGCTTTTCTACATGCACTCCATAGTGTAGCCTACACAAGACTAGATGCTGTTGGGGCATTCCACGTCAAGTGTACACACTTTCCGACTGAAAAATGACAAGACATCTCAGATTTTGTTCATTTGATGTCTAATGGTGAGGTGGGATGAAAAAGGTGTAAAAACCAAATTTCAGGTGAATCGACCCAAAAATGACGTTTTTTGGGCCGACCAAATTTTGGGCCAATCCAGTGGGCCAAAAACCTTGCAACAGCTATAATTTTCCTCCTAATCGTCCGATTTTCATAAAGTTGGTACCCAAATGATCAGGAAATTAAGACCTTTCATTTGATGTATTACCCGATGTTATCATATAATGTTTTCAAATTTTCTTTTTATTTCTTTGACCTTGACCTTTGACCCTGTCCGGGCAGAAAATCCGATGACCCCATTTTTTTCTCAAAATCATGTTCTATATATCATCCACCTGTATGCCAAAAATGAAAATGTGATCTCTATGGGATCAGGAGGGAAATGAAGGCCAAAGTCATAGGGTTTCGCAATTTCAACTTTTGAGCTCAATATTACAATGCCATTCTAGCAACAAAGCAACACCCAGGGTATAATAGGCATCCATGACTGTAGGCTATCATCCTTTGAGAAGACACGTTTTAAAGCATAAGAAGTTTCCTATTATACTATTCAAAAAAAGTAGGGGATATTTGATTTTGGGGGCATAATACTAAAATATGCAAATGACTACGAAAAAAGTCACTATAGAACCTAACAGAAGAAACATTTTCAGTTACATGTGACGCCCAAACGCACCAATAGCTACCGCATGGAATGCAGGTGATGCTTGGGATCATCATGGGGGTCCAACCCAAGATTTGCACGACTCTGACTTTGAATGTTACAGTCATTGTGGCATTGAATTCCAGGGTGGAAACATCAGTTTAATTGTTTTAGTGACCAGAAAACAAATTTTGATATGCGTCGGCTTACCCAAAATGAAAGGTTACGTGCCCTTGGCATGCTACAGATCGGCACAACACAGGCGGTTGTGGCGCGGACGATGAATGTTTCTCAGTCTGTCATCTTCCAGGATGACAACGCAAGATGTCACAGGGCCAGGATCGTTACAGGTTACCTCCAACAACAGAACATCACCACATTACCTTGGCCAGCACTGAGTCCCGACCTCTCCCCCATCGAGCATGTCTGGGACATGCTTGGACAGAGGTTACGTCAACGTCAACAACGTCCTGCCAATGTCCAAGAACTTGCTGCTGCGTTGCAACAGGAATGGGACAATCTGGACCAAAATGACCTTAGACGTCTCATTAGGAGTATGCCACGTCGGATCAATGCTTGTTTGGCAAACAGAGGAGGATTTACCCGTTACTGACTTGGTTGTGATGCTGTGGTAACTTTGCTGTTTGACCCCGGGTATCATTTTACCCTTATAATGGTCAGTCTGTGCCTTACTTAGTCTAACGATCATTTGGAATAAATCGATGAATGTGAACTTCATTTCATTTTGTCATTTGTTTCTTCGTCAGTTTCATTAGGTGACTTTAATAACACTTAAAAATCAAATATCCCCTACTTTTTTTGAATAGTATATATTATCATATTCAGTGCCATTATAATAACGATAGCTTGAGTGTACAAGTATGGTTAGGGGGAAAATTATAGATTTTGGAAGGTTTTTGGCCCACCGGATTGATCCAAAATTGGGTTTGCCCAAAAAACTGACACATTAGGTTTTCAAACCTGAAACTTCACATAAATTGTTCTCTCAGTGGGGCTAACTTTTGGAGAAAAATTGAAGAGAATCTGTTACCATGGTGTCAATGAGGTGTGTACACTTGACATGGAATGGCCCTGTTTTGACTTTCTAGGCTTGTGAAAGCAAAGGAGGGCAGGGTTTTCTGTAGAATTTTTTTTAACTTGCTTATCAGGATTTTTCATTGCCTGGCAAACGATCTTTATTAGGCTGATTGTGGAGAGATCAAGGTCGAAATGAATAATTTTCAATTTTAACTTCTAGATAACCCAAACAAGCCGGATTGGTCTGTGTACAAGGGTTTCAGCAGGTCGTGTTCTTGGTACCAATTGCGGCAAATTTCCTGGAAATGAAAAAACGTTCCACAACAGTAAGTATGCAATTTTCTTTAGCAAATCTTAATATAAGCTACTGACATGACCTTCATATTGTACACCATATCAAACAAAGTCTGAAATCACCCCTGCTTTCTTCTAAGTAAGTAATGGTGCAGGTAGAAGGGTCTGACATGGACAGCTATTTAATTGATCAACGGGATGAAAAAATGAGGTTCTGTGTACCCATTGGTGTGCGCGTAAAAGAACCCTTCACAGCTGTAATTCGATATAAAAGTAGGTTGTAGTGCCGCTGTCTGGGCAAACTGTCTCTCATAGCCCACTGTATGGTTTATTCCTGTCTTCATTAGCCCAGTCGGAGCAGAACAGTTAAATGTTAACCCCCCTTTTCATTTCATTTCTAACATCGCCCCTTAAAGGTCCAATCATTCTTCTAACTATTCTGTCTAGGTTAGATTGTGTTATTTAAGTGGGGCTTATGTCAACCTTACAACTGAGAGCAACTGTCTTTTTGTGATAAGCAAAATGGAAGCGAACGAAGACACCCACTTTTCAAATGTTGATGTCAACAATAATGTATTAATAGAATTGTGGCAAGACCAACCATGCCTTTGATCAGCTTCTTCTAAGCTGTTCGCCAATTTGTTCATCACGTGATGAATAAACTCTATCTATTTCGAATCAACATGAGCGCTCTGAATTTAATTGCTCTCATTGTCCCCAGTTGCTGATATGATCGACATGCATGTAAGCACACTTGCAACTGACTGGAATTAGTTGCTTGAGTTGCATAGTCGATACATAAGTCCCCCTTAAAAGTAAATATTTTATTGTCCCCCGCCTTAATAGAATTGTGGCAAGACCAACCATGCCTTTGATCAGCTTCTTCTAAGCTGTTCGCCAATTTGTTCATCACGTGATGAATAAACTCTATCTATTCCGAATCAACATGAGCGCTCTGAATTTAATTGCTCTCATTGTCCCCAGTTGCTGATATGATCGACATGCATGTAAGCACACTTGCAACTGACTGGAATTAGTTGCTTGAGTTGCATAGTCGATACATAAGTCCCCCTTAAAAGTAAATATTTTATTGTCCCCCGCCTTTCGAAGAAAGCAGGGGACTATTAAAATGGGTCCGTCCGTCTGTCTGTCCGTCACACTTTTTGGGACACAATAACTCTCTTCCTAATTGAGCTAGAATGTTCAAACTTGGTGTATGTGTTTATTAGGTCAATGCCTTGATGGAGTTCGAAGATGAGCATTTTCCGCTTAGGGTAAGCAGAGATAAGCAATTTGATTGGTTGATGCTTTGGGACACGATAACTCTCTTCCTAATTGGGCTAGAATGTTCAAACTTGGTGTATGTGTTGATTAGGTCAATGCCTTGATGGAGTTCGAAGATGAGCATTTTCCGCTTAGGGTAAGCAGAGATAAGCAATTTGATTGGTTGATGCTTTGGGACACGATAACTTTTAATTGAGCTAGAATGTTCAAACTTGGTGTATGTGTTTATTAGGTCAATGCCTTGATGGAGTTCGAAGATGAGCATTTTCCGCTTAGGGTAAGCAGAGATAAGCAATTTGATTGGTTGATACTTTGGGGCACGATAACTCTCTTCCTAATTGAGCTAGAATGTTCAAACTTGGTGTATGTGTTGATTAGGTCAATGCCTTGATGGAGTTCGAAGATGAGCATTTTCCGCTTAGGGTAAGCAGAGATAAGCAATTTGATTGGTTGATGCTTTGGGACACGATAACTTTAGTTCTAATTAAGTGAGATTGATGAAACTTGGTGTATAGATTTATTATATGAATACCTTAACTAAGTTCGATAATGAACATTTTTTGCTGAGGGTAAGCAGAGTGATAAGCAATTTGATTGGTAGAAACTTTGGAACACAATAACTCTCCTTCTAATTGAGGTAGAATGTTCAAACTTGGCATAGGTGTTTATTAGGTGAATGTTTAAACTTGATGTATATGTAGATGTTCATTAGGTGAATGTCTTGACTTGAGTTCAATAATTAACATTTCGAGCTGAAGCTAAGCAGAGCTAATCGATTTCATTTGTCGATGGTTTGGGACAAGATAATCTTGATTCTATCTGATAGAGAGTGATGAAACTTAGTGAAAAAAATAAATGTGCGATTAATTAATATGTGTCATCTATTTATTTTGCAATTTCGGCGGGGGACATCAGCCTCACTGTTGGCTTGTTTAGCTTTGTTCATGCAGGGTGTATCAGTTAAGCAGCAATGTACCACAAAACTAGACTATGTATATCAAAACCCATGATATTTGAATTTAGTTACTATATACAGCTTTTAATTGGTGTTTACTTGTAGTGAATCGGTTTGATTTTAACTTGCATACGATAATCAAAAATAGTAATTTAAAGGCTTTATGTGTCATATAGTACTTTAGTAATCCCTTGCACAAGTTGCACATCACAATATTGTGAAAGTTAATCTCTAATAGGAATATCTGTCTAACAATGGTTCAGTTTCATTCATTATAATTTACAAAGTTATAATGAATTAAAATTTCATCTATGATGTTCACTATGTAACAAGACCCTGCCATCGTTTATTGGTAGCAGAGAAAACCTGATGGGTCAAATTTAAATCTGATTGAATCAGCCAGAAGATTATCTGGTGTAAATATATGGAGCGCAGAATTAAGGCATGGAAAATTTGATATATTAGCGAAAATGCAAATGACGCATCAATAGACCAAAATGGGCTTGATTATTTTGTAAACTTGTTTTTGATCCTATAAAATAAAGAAATGCTATGTTTTTAAGTATTTCTTTGGTCAGTAATCTAGCTTACCTGTAGCGGATGGCAGAGATTAGACTTTCATTATGTGCATCTGCATAATTTAACAATTATTCATAATCGTATAGTTAAACAGATCACACAATATGTGTGAAATTAAATGAAGACCTTATAAGCACATAGCTTCAATCACAATTCTGACAAAGAGTGACTTTATATAAAATGGGTTCGTCCGTCTGTCCGTCTGTCTGTCCGTCACACTTTTTGGGTTGATGCTTTGGGACACGATAACTTTTAATTGAGCTAGAATGTTCAAACTTGGTGTATGTGTTTATTAGGTCAATGCCTTGATGGAGTTCGAAGATGAGCATTTTCCGCTTAGGGTAAGCAGAGATAAGCAATTTGATTGGTTGATGCTTTGGGACACGATAACTCTCTTCCTAATTGGGCTGGAATGTTCAAACTTGGTGTATGTGTTGATTAGGTCAATGCCTTGATGGAGTTCGAAGATGAGCATTTTCCGCTTAGGGTAAGCAGAGATAAGCAATTTGATTGGTTGATGCTTTGGGACACGATAACTTTTAATTGAGCTAGAATGTTCAAACTTGGTGTATGTGTTTATTAGGTCAATGCCTTGATGGAGTTCGAAGATGAGCATTTTCCGCTTAGGGTAAGCAGAGATAAGCAATTTGATTGGTTGATACTTTGGGGCACGATAACTCTCTTCCTAATTGAGCTAGAATGTTCAAACTTGGTGTATGTGTTGATTAGGTCAATGCCTTGATGGAGTTCGAAGATGAGCATTTTCCGCTTAGGGTAAGCAGAGATAAGCAATTTGATTGGTTGATGCTTTGGGACACAATAACTTTAGTTCTAATTAAGTGAGATTGATGAAACTTGGTGTATAGTTTCATTACAGTAATACCTTGACTAAGTTTGATAATGAGCATTTTCTGCTCAGGGTAAGCAGAGCGATACGCAATTTGATTGGTCGAGACTTTGGAAAACAATATAGTTTATGCTTTAGTTCTTGAAGAAGCTTTCCAATGTATTACCCCTGTAATTCCTCCTCTTTTATCTGTACAATATTTTCGAAAAAAATGAAACGAAATCCACTTATGTATACATTTAGGTTACATTATAGCCTACATGTCCCGACTCAACTTGCCACATTACATGTCATAATATTATAACCAGGTATTGATAAAAGCATCAATTGAGCAATTCCAATACAATCCAATACAATGAATATAGGCAAGGTAAATAAACAAATAAGTGGAAAAAACAAATTGAAAAAGAAACTATTATAAATTAATTAAATATGTAGTATGCAATAATGAATTGACATTTAATGACAGAAAGAAAACAGTGAACTTTGCACAACTTGCAGCAAGATGGAAAATAGACCCGTTGATACAACCAAACTCTAGATCTGTAGGCATAGAGCATGTTTTCCCCTTAATATGCTATAATTATTCCATCAAAAACATTGTATGCTTAGACTATAAGTAAAGATATACTGTTTGATTGTTCAATACTTTGTAAAAGATAATTTGTGATAAATTTATATGTGTCCTCTAATTATTTTCCTATTTCGGCGGGGGACATCAGCCTCACTGTTGGCTTGTTTAATCTTATGGAATGCCCATAATTTTATTTTTGGCAGTCTATATTTGAATGTGCAACCACCAACCAGGCCTAGCCATTTTAACCTGTTTTGCCCAAATCAAATCCTCTGTATTGTTAATCAAACTTCTGACACTGTCACAAATAAGAATTAGATATTTTACACCAAAGTAAAGGTTCCCATTTAGGACTAAAATAAGCCGCTAAATCAATTTTGGTATGTTTATTCACCGAATTGTAACCAGACTGACTTTGAATTGAAATGTCCTTTTGCTATCACATGATACACATGTATGTTGTAGAATAAGTACAGTTGTCATCATGTGAATCGTCATAAATGATTAAGGATGTCATAGTTTGAATTTTATTAATCAGCGACATGGTCATTCGATATCCAATCGTAACCAATTAACCAATTTAATAATTTATTCATATTTTTATTGAAAATTTAATTATTTGAATATCTGTTGCATCACAAGAACACTTATTGATACAGGTCTAAATTATTAGTACTGGTATTATACTTATTTTAGCTTTTAAGTTAACCATCATTTATTGGCATTTCTTTTTTCCATATTGCATTATACTTTGTCAAATCATGGACCATATAAGTGCTGGAGTGATATTATA